CCACTTTCATGATATTGGTTCTTCGTATCCAAGAAACAGGAATATCTTTCCATTTTCTGATATCCACTTCAATCTTTTTCAGAGTGCTTTGGTTTTCAGTGTAGAAGTCTTTCACATCCTTCATTAGATTGAGAATCAGTCTTTCTTTTTTCTTCTTTTTAATGTCCTGGTGCTATCAAACTGAGGACCTTGCACTTGCCAGACAGGCACTGTGGCACTGAGCTATCTCCCCAGCCTGGGGAGTCTTTAAGAAGACACTTGTTTCTACCAAAGTAATCACAACTTAATTGTAAAACCTCAAGTACTGCAGAAGTAAATGAAGTAACAAAGTTTTCTGTTAGCTGTTCAAAATGTATGCTGCAAGGGTAGCATGTTGTGTATGTGGTAAAGAAATTATGAAGTTTGCTTTTACCAAAATGGCCTTTTCATTGTCTTGATGTACTGCATTTTATTAACTCAAGTTTCTGTTGGTAGATGGTTTGTTTTGTTTTGTTTTTATTTTGTTTCGTTTTTTCTACAAAAACTGCTGCATTGAGCATCCTTGTGTCTTAATTTGTATGAGCAAATTCTTGGCTTCCTGCCTCAGCCTCCAGAATGCTGAGATTACAGGCATGTGCCACCACACCTGGTTGCCCTGTGACTTTTTTTTTTTTTTTGCGGAACTCAGGTCCTTGCACTTGCCAGGGAAACACTTATGCCACTGAGCCATCTCCCTGGCCCTGCCCTATGACTTTTTAAAGCACTGATTGCTAAAAATGGGCTAACTTATAGTAGTGGTTCTAAATTTCTGTCCAAATTTCTCCTAAACAACTACCAATAATAACTTTATGCTGCTTCAGCCTGGAGTACTCTTCTCTTACAAACCCATCTGAAGTAGTACTTTTTGCCCGGCTCTGCTCAAATATCACTTCAGAGAGGTCTCCCTTGGTCAGATTTTTCTCAGTCCATCACTGCTGTCCTCATTTCCCTGCTTACCTTGCCCCCATCCCTGCAATGGATTGTCTGTTTGGCTCCAGCTGTCCTAGAATATGCAGCACGTTAGGGAGTAGTCCTTCCTTCTACCTTTGTATCTATTGAGCCCATACCATACATGGTTTAGGCTTCTGAGAATTGTTTGTTGATTTTATGATACAAACATTTTTATCTTTAAATTTTATTTATTTTTCTGTCTATTTATATTTAAGAAACAGGATCT